AGTCTGTGAACAACGCGAACATAAATTGTAAGCAGGATTATCTCACAAATGAATATTCTGAGATCATCTGGTTCACCTTCAGGTGCTGCAACTTTAATGCTAAGAGAGTTTTATATGGATCCCATTTTCAATATTTCAACGAATAGGATACAAAATCATTGGTGTGTTGTTTTGATATTTTCATTTCTTTTGAAAAACGATTTCAACTTTTCCCTTAGAGAAAGTAGTGTAATCGTACTTAGGAAATGGCGAATTTTCGACAGAAAAACACCTATTGCCGGGATCTGGTAACGAAAAAGTGTATAAATCTTGTTCTTTACATAGGAGATTGCTTTCTCTAACCCGTTGTGTAGTCATAACCCATGTTTTGTGCATGACCGTTACAAATAATACAAAGTATGTGTTGTAAGTAAAATGTTAGTGAAGTTGTAACATGTCTTGTTTTAATTATGAATTCGTTTAAAAATTATAAAATGTAAAAGATAGTCTTACTGTCTGTTAACAACTATATACATTTAATTGCTTATTGAGCACATGAGCCAGACATTAAATCCCTCAAGCTTGACGAAGAAAAACGTTATAAAAACATGCTGAATGCAATTATTAAACTCATAACAAATAATTGTAGTGGTATATTCTCAATGAAAGTGGTTTTCCTCGACATTTGACTAGCTCCGAACTCCATATCCTCTGACCTTGAGAGTCTCATTTCCTCTGTTGACCGTCCTCGAAATATTTCCCTACTACTCACTTATTGTCTTCTAGCATCCGATAGAAACCAATGTTTACACGCCGTGATCATAAAAACGTACAATTTAGGAGGTACTTCTACTTCATCGGTAACAAAAACGATCTACACCACCACGACTTCCATAATTCTCGCCCGCGCTCCCAAAAGGCGAAACATCATTCGCACTGGACCGCGTGGGCCTTTGCACACCGCGCCTGTCATTTCATTATTGTTCTTCACGGCCGCCGCCCCACCTTTGATATTGACTGATTAGTGGTTACGAGCGCGTCGACTACTAATATCATTAGTCCTGTAGGTGTAGTGCAGGTTTTTTTCCTCGAGAGAAATCTGCGTTTTTCCCTCGCTGAACGGTGAAATCTGGCGCCGCTAGTGGAATTTTCCCCAATCGTATCTCCCACTAGTGGGTCCCCGCCCCCACCCGGGGCAAGCTCTTAGCTCCCAACCGGTCTTCCGGCGTATGTGGTAGTGGACTGTGTGTAAGTGTGTGGGAGGGGTAGGATAAGACAAGGAAACATCGCGCGCGCACATTGATCTGATTAATCATGAAAACACCGATCAGAGCAGCCGGTGACTAGAATTCTCCAGGCAGCGACCTATCTAGCAGGATTCGAAACTAGGACCTCCCGGTCAGAGGCACTGCAGTAACATCAGTTGATGCCCTGAGCCATCTCTCTCGGTCCCACCTTCACGGTCGCAGTCATCGGAAAAGGACCCAAACGGGAGACAAGTCCTTTAAAATATGAAGAAATTTACTACACATTTTCCCACAGTACATTTTTTATTTTGAGGATTATTTTAAGTACTTTTTTACAGCAGGGAGTAAATTACTTTAGTAAACAATTCCAGTCTGTAGAGTGTAATGTGTAAGAATTTTTTTTTCCTTTCCTTAACGCTTCGACTCCCTGTAAGCACAACCTGGACATTACAGAGAAAAGAAATTGTCAACAAAGTGTTTCTCAGCGAAGTGACGTAACAAACCTTTGTTTTTTATTTAGGGAGAAGTAGGTGATGATTTTTACTTTTTTGTATACGTACGTATATACGGAGTAATGCACATAGTATAGAGAAAATTATGTAATGCGGCGGGAAATCGATTTCTAGATTTCAATGGAAATACATGATTTGGGGTCCCCTGATTCCGAAAAAGGTTTTTTTTCAAAACGTCCCTCCATCCCTCCGTGAACTACATTAGATTTCACCTGTGAAATGTTCCTAAAATTAATATATGTGAATAGATAAATTTCAGTTTTCCCCCGAACGCCTGTGCTGCCCAGCGTGCGGCACAGGCGTCCGGATTCCATTCCGGTTCAAGGCGCAGGCGCAGGAACCGCCCCTTACCCGGCCGACACAAAAACAACGCTGCGCGCGTGGCCATCGTTTTATGCGCGCCATTGTCGCGGCCGCGCTAACGGGGCTCTCGCTCTCGTAAAGCCGCGCTTTTCTCTTCTTTTATTTTCACATTTTATGTACACAGTGATTCGATAAACAACGCGAAAATTTCGGGACCTAAAACAGGTAGTGATGGAAATTTTTACCAACACATCTATATTTCGATATATCACCAACAGATTTTCGATGTTAATGAAACATCGAATTTTAAAATATCGTTGTTTTGAAATATAAAACATATGGTATTTTCCCCACTGTTTCCATTTTTAATTAGAGAACTTAAATGAAATAACGGTATATTTAATTGATTGGTCACGTATAAGTAATGTTAATAACAATGTTTATCGAAAATAAAGGTTTTGCTATTTTTCCATTTATTTACTTTCGTTTATTAATAATGGAAGTATAACGTCTGGTATCTAAAATACATAATATCTTAATACGTAAATATTATCTTAAAGTATATTCTGCCCTAATCATTCTGTCACCTTAATTTTCTAATCAATATTCTTCAGGCAAGGTTCAAAATTCAGTTTTTTGATATTAGCTGAACATTACGTTCCGTATTTATATTCCGTTTCAATTTGGACAATTTCAAGACATTGGAAATAATTTTTGCTCAGAAGTATAATACCATTACATTTGTGTTTGCCCATATCTTTGTTAGTTACTTTCTTAAGAGTGGTAGTTTATAACATAAAACCACATGTTATTTATTTTTTACCCACAAAATTCAAGAATGTCTTCTTGTTACCCTTTCTGAAATTTCACAGCTATTCTTTTGGGTGCACGGTTTTAAATAGTATTGAGAGATTAACTATTAAGGAAAGCTATTTCATGAAAGTACATATTAATACTATGATTTAATTCTTCATAATAAATATTGTAACGTTATGAAATATATAAGATACTCCTAATTATTTATACTAACATTCAAATGTAAAGTGAAGGATGGAATCGAAAATATTGGACATTATTGCCTCCTCAATGACACCATTGCTGTGAAGCACTATAAAAACACTGTCCGAAGAGTTCATAGAGATAATTTGAAAATGTGAAATACTGGCACAATTTATGCGTGTTAATCCATTTTTATAAGTAGAGCAAATATATAAAAGCAGCTAATACGCAGTTAACACATCTATTTCAAATATCACAGACAGGTGCCCTACAAATGCACTTGGATCTTGAAGCTAGAAATCGAGCGCTCTAATCTACGGAGTCCAGCAGACCAAAGTTTGTCTTGAACGCGGACCACTGAGTCAAAACACCCTAGCTGAGGAACACCATCTGAAGAACGCCTTGAGATCTACATTAAAACATGGCGCCTGCGGCGCGATAGCGGCGCCCTCGGTGACGTAACGCAGAACTAGTTTCCATGGCGACGCGAGGCGCGGGCCGTGAACTTCCTGCTCGCCCGGCCCGGCGCGGCGCGGCGCGGCGCGGCGCCCAACTCGCCCGGTCCGGTGGGGCCCGGCGCTGGCCACTGTCCATCTGGGGCAGAACGGCCAGCCCCGCCTCAAGGACGACGCGGGCGCTCTCAAGGAAAAGCGCCATCGCTATCTGCGTGGCGATCTCCTTCGTTTACGCGAGCAGTTTATGCGCCTGGGCGCTCGGCCCCTGTCGTAACCACCGCGCAGCCGAAATAATTTACGCTCAGAAGTTCTATTAATATCACACATACAAGAGCTCCAAATTTTGTCAAAGCAATTTAATATATTTGACGAGAAAGTGTGAGGAGTCTACTTTTCTGCACTTCCTATATTCTAAAATGAGATCAACAAGTTACATAAGACAAAAACTCTAAGCCAAATTTAATATTAAAAAAACAGTTTTGAAAGGGAAATGAAAGATTGCGCGAGGCCTGTGACCCATTACTTAAGGAATTGCCTCGCCATCCGCTTAGAATTGAGATAGGGAATGTCGGGAACAGCCTATCAGAGCATACGACCTCTCGCATTCTCAGCATCGATCTTTCTTTTCACTTGTTCGTCGACAGTCCTGGCTCCGGAAATTGATCCTAGGCCCTCCTTAAGCTTCGGTAGAGGACTTGAAAATACAGATTTCCCATGTAAGAAATGACAATGAAGACTTTTCCGGAGTGCACGGCGTAGGAGTACCGTCTCTCACTCCAGTCTATCTGAGCGAAGAATGGTCGCGCAGATTTCCTTGAGGTTTTCCTGCTTTCCCCGACACTCATGCCATTATTGATCCATCGTAGTGCCGGATTTAGACAATTTTGGGCCGGGGGAAATACTGAAACGTAGCGTCTTCACGAAAATAATTGAAATGAGAAAGAATTGTATCGAGAAAATTCTTCTATTATCGCGACAGCGATCGACTGTAATCTTGATCTGCGCATGCGCAATTGCACAAAAGTGGTGCAAAACGCGAACTGTGCATACGTAGAAAATCGATAGTTGCTTTAAGATTCGAGGGTGTAAAAATACCCTAAAATTGTACAAAACGCTGAGGATGCTTCAAACTATCCCGTTCACATGGTTGCCTGTATCGCACAACCATTTCGTTTTACGATACGGGTTGCAAAAACCTTTCTAATAAAGATACGCTACGGCATAGCCAAAACGCTCCGGAGAAAAACCACGTGCGGGGCTGTTCTGCCGCCGGGGGCGCGTCCTCCGGCCGACAAAGACGGAGCGTCCCGCGCTGCCCGCGCGCGCATCCTTGAGCGCGTCGTGACCTTCGCGGGGGCCGTTGAAGGCCAGTGACGTCAGGGCCATGACGTCAGTCCCGAGCGCGTCCCGCCGCGTTCGCGCGCGAACAAGAGGTGGTCAGTGCTCCGCCGCGCCGTGGCCGCCCGCTGGCATCCGCCGCGGGCGGCGACCAGGCAAGTGAGGGAATGGAGCGAAGGGTGGGAGGACGGACGGTGAGTGACTGGACTGACTGCGCGGATGCGGTGGGGTGGATGGAGTGGGTGGGATGGAGTGGGGTGGGGGGGTGGGGTGGGGTGGAGCGGGGCGGGACGGGGCGCAGCCAGCCGTACCAGGGGGGGCAAGGGCTGAGAAAGGACAGGAGCGGGCGAGGCTTGTGGGGCGTAGCGGGGCAGGGTCGAGCAGGAAGCGAAGACCCCAAAAGCCGCGGCGGAAAGTTCCTACCTGACGACGCGAATGCATAAAATGACGAAGATGTTCGGCATCTGAAGGAAAACGACCAAATAAACTGCGAGATTTATGGAAAAAATTCCACAGTGAGCGGGTTCCAAAACGTACCCAGGAGGCAGGAGTTTCCGTCTTCTAACGAGATGAGTTCTACATTGGATAATACCGGTCTTTGTATAAAGGATTGCTTAAAAGGGAATTTTATTGGAATTTTGGAAGGTTAAATCCTGATAAATCAAAAATTACATTTAGTAGTTTTCCAAGAAAATATCATTTTTAAATTGAAAGAAAAAACCTGTAACCTTACAAAATTAAAGGTTCCAGAAATGTGGATTTATGGAAAGAAAAGGCTGTGTATTAATAGAAACTAGTGGTGCTACAGAACGGCACAGACTTTCCCGTATTAGTTTTCTATTTCCTTTGGTCTCGGCTAGCTGTTCGAACTTGCCACATACCAGCTGCCATCTATCACCACCCAATGTATTTTTTTTAAGGTTCTTAGTTTTTAGATTTCCTAATTTTCGAGTGGAAATATTATTTTATGATTATTAAAGAAAAGTAAAACCTCGTTGTAAATGGCAATTTTCTTTAAAAAGTTGAAGCCGTTTTTTAAAATATTGTGATTAAGCACTATTGTAAATTCGAAATTTGAAGCTCTTTTTCACAGAAAATTTTTGTGTGTTCGAAAACTTCATTTGAAGTACTTCCACTCACAAATACAATAGTACTTACAAATTGCTGGAAATGTGCATATTAACAGCTTTAAAAAACAAAAATGCACCTCCGTGAGCTTTATATTCATATGAAAGTCACATTAAAGAGTGCAATAATCACTATCCGTTCGAAATATTTGAAGAAAAAATGTTGTGCCTTTTTTGAGAAAATAGCGTTTGAGCATTTCTTAGAATGCGGAATTTTGAACTAGTTTTCTCAGAAAACGGTTGAGTTTTCGAGAAACATTTCATGACATTATACGTACTTATAAATACAATAATGTTAACAAATTGCCGCTAGTATAAATATTAACAACATGAGAGACTAATCAAAAAATACATTTTAAAATTGCACATATTGCGCGAAAACTACTACAATTTTCAAAAAATGTACATGACCTTAATGAAAGAACTCACTATGAACAACAAATTTTATTAGAATGAAAAATCTCCATCTTCAATTTTGTAGTCGTAGGAAGACACCAAAAAAATATTGAAATTAAAACTTTTGAAATTTTAGAGTTGACCGCGAAAATCGGGCTTATAGCACGTTTATAAGTGTATATTACTCTATTCTTAGATGAAATTTTAAGAAAAAAATTGGAGCCATTTTTGAGAAAATTTCGAAAATATCGGGAGAACTTTATGTAAACTACCCGCAAATTGTGAAGAATGTTTTTAAACATCTCAAAGTTTCGACTCGAGCCAGATAAACAGGGGTTTCTTCAATTTGGGAAAATTCCTATGCATGGATTAAGCTCTGGTAGTGTTCACAGACACTAGGCGCACGAACGGATGTTTTGAAGAAAAGAAAAACACTTTCGGTATCTAGGGTCTTCAAAACTTGTTTTTCCGTTAAAATCCCGAAATGTATTTTCCGCAGCATTACATAACTTTCCGCATACTACGTATATACGTACGTATACGGGAAAGTAAAACTAGAACATTGGTTATGATCAAACGTCACCAATATACAGGCAAAATCTCATATAATTCGTTATAATATTCATCATTGTAATAACTGAAGTATAAGCAATTTATTTAAGTGGGTATGTTTTAGAAATTGCTTAGGTAAAATCGGTCAATGAATGTAAATTCTTATTCATCTGTGTGAATAATATAGTTAGCTCTGTAATAGGAAGAGAAATAATCCTGGATGACAGTCTCTCTTCTACAAAATGAGAGAATATTTGACAGTGTCGTTTCTATCAGAACCAGAGGTTGTACTAGCTCTGTTAACGTTTCATTCTGTCAGAAGACTGATTACATTCTGTCAGAAGTTTGTACGGAAAGACAAGCAATAAACAAAAATAAAGGAATTGAATTATTCGTATTCAAAAATCGACTTGCAACAGCACACAGTGCTCTCCGCTCATTCCATTCATAATATAAAAAAGGTTTCACATCAAAAAACTATCCACGAGGTCGCCCAAATGCTAAGCGAGTTTTTGAGAGCTACTTCTTGCAGATACGCTGACGTCAGAGAGCTTTTAGCGAGTCTCCCATATTAGTTGAACTTCATTCATCAACATACGTAAAAATCTATATTTACAAGTCATTGGCGTATTTTCTATGTACTTACTGTGTACATATACATTTACTTGCAGAAACATTGATCAAGGGCAAAGGTTCAATAAGAGGTGAATCCTTCGGTTCAGTGCGTTACGTTTAAGACATGCACGTTAAGCATTCATTATATATTATGCTCTCACAATTAAGCAGTCATTACCATTACTCAACAATTTATATTTAATTTTAAGAACGACAATTCACAAGAACAGTGATCCAAAATGGTAACAGAGCAATGTCAGACCCGCCACTAGTACTTCCCGTATGACGTGCTGATGGCTTCGTGTGTTAGGCAAGAATACTACACGAACGCTTCTAAACCAGATGGATTTTTTTACCCACGGCCAGGATTCCCTAGAGAGCGGGTGAAGTAGGAAGAATAACTTAAACCGCGTTATTTCATATTCATAGGCAGTGAGCCCCCTCCAGTTTCCAATACGAATTCAACTGCAGCACTGCGAAAATTTGGTAGCAGGTGATGACAACCACGTAACACATATTGTATTTTTTTATGCGTTAATATTATTACTATTTCATTGTCAATGCTCTAGTAGTTTTAAACCTACACAATGTATGCCCAAGTATAAGTAAATTATATTAAATATAGATACATTATAATTTATAATAATAAAATATACATACAACTTATGTACAATATAAATATCGGTATGTTTCTCCCAGGCACCGAAGCTCTTGTGCAAAACTTCGATTCCCATCGATTTTTCAAATTTTCCACAGCTCGGAGTTATTTATGACAGAAATTCTAAACCGCCAGTAACACAGATCACTGATCGGTGACTTTCTAGTACAAGTCTAGTACAGGCCAAGTGTCTTGTGCTCGTGAGATCATTGAGTTGGGTATCGTTGATGAGTGCACGAATGCACACATTCCCTCTTTTCGACATTCGATGTACGAGAACCACAACGAGAGATTACGAAAAAAATATCTTAGGCTCGAAAGAGCTTGTTAAAGAAGATGAGGTTTACAGCAAGAGTCGTATCGAGTCAAAAGTTCTTTTTAAACAATTCTTTGTGTCGGATAAGTCATTTTAAAATCTAGAACTGGAAGGTTGCAATAAGTGCTAACGTTTAATAATTACAGTTCGGAGCACTTAAATATCTGAATCTGATATGGGCTAAAAGTCAAGATAAGAAACCTCGATCGATCGATATAAATGTTTCCATCTTTATTTATGTACCTATATGGGGGAGGATGCTTACGTCTTAGTATCTTGGTGTTTGCTTTCCTGCGGAAGACAGGATGACGATGGTAATAAACGAAATAAAAGTATTAATTTAATTCCTTCATCGTGTGAAATAATAATAATAATAATAATAATAATAATAATAATAATAATAAATAATTTCTCCATAGAATGAAAACAAGTGTCCATTTTTCAGTAAACCATCGATTGTTTGAGAGTTTACTTCGATGCGCGATTTGTGTTCGCGAGCACTGAGCTCGTTGCGTGCACTTCAAGTCCAAGGTCTTCACGGACATAAAAATATTGGTAAGGTTGAAACGGGAAGGGATGGGATGGGACTGAAAGGGAGGGAAGAGGGCGGGTCCAGTTAGGACAGAACGAACCCCAAAAGGAAGTAGGGGTCGGGTCGGGTCGGGTCGGGTCGGGTCGGGTCGGGTCGGGTCGGAAACGGGCGGGTGAAGGGAAGGGGTTGTTGTAGCGGCCCGCTTCGTGCACCGCCCGCGGCGATGTGGCCAGTGCGTAACCCGAGTCTGCGCGCCGCGGCCTGGGGGGCGGAGGGCGGGCGGCTGGTCCATCAAGGCCAGTGGGCGGCCGCCTCCCGGATGCGCCCCGGGCGCACACATCCACGCCCACCATCACACGGCGCCGCACAGCCACTTTTTCAAACTATCAGTTCAGAGGGGTTACCACTACACTAATGCAGTTATAGAAAAGAATTGTGTGTGTGTGGCTTTGAAGTAGTAAACAAAGGGAAAGTAATGCATAAATACAAGTAAAATACGCTGTTATGTGCTTGTCCGTGCTACAAAGTCGACATGTTTTCTTGCAAAAAATAAGCATGTTTTAAGTGCACCACACAACAACCACAGATTTATTCAACTAATCGGCTTATATATCTTTACTTAAAATTCCATTGAAATAAGAGCTTCGTCTACGAACAGGCTGTGTCCACAATAAGTACCATTTTACGTAATGTCCTGGTTAAGAAGTTCTTAACAAATACCGACGAAAATGTGACGCTGCTGTGCACGTAGTATCATGCCTTTACCTTGAAACAACAAAGAACAATCATACGATTCACAACGATGCACTTTCTTACGGCTTCATTGCAGCAAACTTTCACAACACACAATTGTTCATCAGGTTTCTAATTGTGTATAGAAATTGGAGCTTTACAAAGAAAAGAAGTCTGCACGAATGAAGAGTGCACTCATTGTCCTCCGCTATCAACACATGCACTGAGTGTGCACAGTATGTGGAAGAAGGTTTACAAAGACGAGC